CACCCCTCACTTCCTAGTATGCTACCTACTTAACTCCATAGCACCCCTCCCTTCCTGGTATGCTACATACTTAACTCCATAGCACCCCTCACTTCCTGGTATGCTGTGTACTTAGTTTCATAGCACCTTTTCCTTCCTGGTGTGCTACATACCTAACTCCACAGCATCCCTCCTTTCCTGATGTGCTGTATACTTCATAGCACCCTTCACTTCCTGGTATGCTACATATTTAACTCATTTATTGGGTTTGTTGTCCCTCTGACCCCTCCTGGGCAAGGACTTTTATCTCTTTTCACTACTGTATCCTTAACATCTAGAACAGTGTCTGGTACATAGATGGCACTCAAATGTTTATTGAGTGAATGCAGTTGAAATTCTGGATTTAATATTAATCTCCTGGCATTTGGTTGGCATAAACAGGTCTCCCTCAGCCAAGAGCCTGATCACCTCTGGGTGCATCTATAAATATTGAGTTTCCATATTGCAGCCTGAATCATGGCGGTTTCACCAAAGTATTGCCTTTTTGTGGGTCCTGATTTCAGCATGGCCATGCTCTTTGTCATCTCTGTCTCAGTACCACATAATCTCAAAGATATGAGGACCTCTTTGAAGCTTTCTGATCTTTCCACATCCCAGAGTCAGAACTGAAGAATTGATTAGCAAGATTCTGGTTGCCTTTAGTTTCTATTTTGAGGACCAAATGGTAAGCTACTAGTATTGCTGCATTCTGATCTTCCTTGTGACTGAAAGCAATGCCATGTAAACAAAGTAAAATGGCCTCTTATCTTCCTAGAAGTTTCAAAAAGTCCAGTGAATTTTTATTGGCAATTAAAACCAATAGCTGTAACAAGTGAAGATTTATTGAGTGCTTACTTTGTGCCACGCACTGTTATAAACACTTTTGATGTATTAACTGATTTAATCCTTATAATAACCCAACAAGGAAAATATTAACATTAGGAACACGTTATAGATGAGTTAGCTGAACCCCACAGGGGCGAAGAAATGTCTCCCATGTCTTAGAGCTAGTAATGACAGAGTCAGGTGTGAGCTCAGGCAGTCTGGCTTCAGCCTGCACTCTTAACACTGTGCTCCACTGCCTGGTTGTAGAATGAAAAGGGAGGAGGGACTTTGCACTGACAGGGAAGCAAAGTAATTATAATTTCATCAGTGTAAGTCTGTCGTTCTGAAAGCACCATAGTAACCCAAGCACTTTCTTCTGATGTCAGCCCTATTGCCATTTTCTTGCATAACATAAGAGTCAGGCTAACTAGCTTCCAAGATACCTTGTCACTCTTCCTAGGCAAAGGAGTAGGCTCCTTGAAACACTCTGCCAAACTGTTCCCTCCATCTTTGCTTCACTAGCTGCTACTCTAGCTGAGCTCTGAAGGGTATGTCATGAACCCTGAGTGCCCTACCTAACTTTGCCCCCTACACCAGTGCCTTCATCTGATTTAAGTGCCTGAACTCTGCATTTTCGTTTTCATCAAAGTGCCTATCACACTTCCTTGTCACTGTTTGTTTAATTGTCTAGTCCTCTGGTAGACTGAAACTTCTGTGAGGGCAGAGATTGCATCTGCCTTGTTCGTTGCTGTATCCTTAATGCCTAGCATGGTGTTTGGCACATTGGAGGAGTTCAATAAAATTTTCTTGAATGAGTAAAAGTCATGTTTCTATAGAATGTCTGCAATCATATCCATGCATTAAAGAGAATTTTCTTGTGGCCAGGCTAGTCCATCTTTATAAATAAGAAAGATAATTTTCCTTTAGTCTGCCTTCCAGCTGTTGGATGTTCATGTTATCGTTGCCTATGCTATAATGCTAGATTTCAACTCGTGCCTCTTTCTGCTTCAGATTCAACTAATGTTCAACTGCTATATGATAGGTGTCTCCCTAGGGTCTTTCATATCTATCTGCTGATTTAAGTGGAGATAACTTCTTGGAGGGTTTCAGTTTCCTCAGCTGTACAACCAAGATACCTAATTGACTTGTGCAAGATCAAACTGTAAGTTTGAGAACCGGGGTTTGAATTTAGAACTTACAATTTTAAATTTGGCTTCTTTTTCTCATATATGATGTTGCCTTCCTGTTCCTGTCTCTGATCCTTGTCTCTAGTCCATGGGTAGCACCCATATTACTGAAGGACAAGCATATTTCATTATCTTATCATATGCACCTCCTTCAAAAGACTTTTTTTTCCACTCCTTTGTTCTGTGTTCCACTTTTATTCATTTTCTTCCCATTTCTACTTTGCCAGATTTTCTCCCAAACAGTGGCATTTAGGGTTTTATGAAAACATTTCTGGGGCCTATCCTAATCCTGTGTATGGGTTGAGGGCTTTAGTGATGTTTGGTTATTTCTATTATTATTTCTACACTATCATTATATCTATTTCAGAAATGGATGTGAAAGAGTCCCAGGGATTAGAACCAGGACACATACTGTTTGGGCTCTTGATCAAACAAGGTGATTGAACACATGCTTTTTGATTTGCTAATTCCTGAGACCCCACAGTAAAGGAGTGACAAAAATATAAACCCTATGGTAGACAGAATAATGTCCCCCCCGGCCCCGTCCCCATAGATACTCATGTCCTAATTCCTGGAACCTAGGAATGTGTTATTTTTTTTGGCAAAAGGGACTTTTCAGATGTGATTAAGTTAAGGGTTTTGCGATGGGGAGATTATCCTGGATTTTTGGGGTAGGCCAAATATAATCACAAGGATCCTTATAAGGGAAAGAGGGAGGCAGGAGAGTTAGAGGAAGAGAGAGAGAAAAATTGGAAGATGCTTCACTGCTGGCTTGGAAGATAGAGAATGGGGCCAGGAGCCAAGGAATGCAGACAGCCTCTAAAAGCTGGAGAAGGCAAAGAAACAGACTCTTCCCTAGAGCTTCCTGAAGGAATGCAGCCCTGCCAACACCTTGATTTTAGGCCACTGAGACTGATTTTGGGCTTCAGACCTCCAGAAATATAAGATAATAAATTTATGTTGTTTTGAGCCATTAAGTTTGTGGTAATTTGTTACAGCAGCAATAAGATACTAATACAATCCCTCAAGGACAAAAAAAACAGGGAAGGAGACGACAGCAGTTGAGAGAATTCCACACACATTTAGAAGATGGGATGGATGAAGGAAAGGTAGCTGACTTGGCAGAGTGGAGGAAGCTGATACCTAAGTGCCTGCAGAAGGGATAGCAATATGAGGGAAGCCAGTATGCCCTGCAGAAACACAGAAGTCCTCAGGAATTACCAACAAATTATCCAACCAACTAACAAACCAAACAGAAAGTGATATGTATGAATGTATTGAGATGAGATTTAAATGAGTGGTGGAGAGTTTTGAATTAGTGATATATGCTTAGAAAACTAAGTAAATGAAAAGAACAATACAGTTATTAGTTCCAGGGAAAACAAAAAGTTTGGCAGGAGAGGAAAAGTAATCATAGTTATTATATGGCTCAAATCTAACTAGAATATAAGGTCCTAATAATGTAAATACTCATTATTAATTTAATTAAAGTTATGGTATATAGTGAAAGGAGTGTGCTTGTGGTGGGTGTGCAGAGAAGGAAGAGAATAAATCCTCATTTCCATAATGAAAAGTCAATAACTAACGCCTAATGCTGAAATATCAAGTTATCACAATTAAAACAAGTTGTGTAGAGGTATGGAGGTCAATTCCAAAGAATCAGCTAAAAGAATTCACAGTAGCTGTCTCTGGGGAAAGGTAAATATTCAGTGAGAGGGCTATTGACTCTTCAAACTATGAGCGTGTATAACTCTGATAAAAATAATTCTTAAAAAATAAGGGATAAAAAATGATCTTAAGAGGAAAAAATTATTGAAGATAGTTTCCTGGATTTGAAAAACATGAATACTTAGATTGAAAGAGATATTCAAATCTCTTGAGAAAAGCCCATGTCAAAGCACATGACCCTGAAATTTTAGAACACCAGTTATAAGAAGACAACTTAAAGCCTTTGGGAGGAGATGAAGGTGCATACAAAGGACTAGAAAGGAGAACGGCTCTGGGCTTCTCCATGGCAGCTTTGGAAGCTAGAAGACAATGTATCAATGCTTTCTAATTCTGAGGGGAGATTCTTTCAAATCCAGTATTTTGTTATTTTCAGACATAGTAAGTCTTCGCTTGTCATGAACACTTTCTCGGGAAACTACTGGAAGATATGCATTACCAAAATCAGGCAGTAAACCAGGAAGAAAGATCCAGGAAACAAGGGTGTATCTGTCAACTTAGGCTACAATGCAACACCACCAAACTCTCCATGGCTTACAACATAGGTTTTTTTCTTCTCACCCAACATGTCCATCATGTAGTTCGGCTCCTTGTCTCCTTCATAATGGGACTCAGGCTGATGGAGCATCCTCTATCTGGGATATTGCTAGTCTTGTGGCAGAGGGAAAAGAGAGAGAGGATAGATTGTCTCTTAAGCTTTCACCTCAGAGTGACGCATGTCATTGGCCAAAGCAAGTCACATGGTCACTTCTGGGTTTAACGAGGCAGAGGTGTAAAATCGTTCCATAGGCTGGGACATCACAAGTCATAGCCAAGCCTGGCGTCGGTGGGGCAAGGAAGTATGATCCACCCCAATGCAGGAGCAGCAAATATTTTGAACAATAATACAGTCTATCTCAAAGGGAACCCCTGCCTAGAAGAGAGGCAAAGGGAATGGTCAGGACAGCAGCTGTGAGAAGCAGGAGGAAGAGCCCTCCAGGAGGAAGGGCGGGGCAGGGAGGGATTGGCATTGATAGCTTTGCTGTCAGGCTTGCTTGTTAGATGGCTGCCTCTCTGGTAGGCACTAGAAACCAAGAAGAATAGGGCAGGAGACTGCTGTTTTCTCATCAGCTTTTTTTTGGTATGAAGTGAGTTTTTAAAAACTGTGTAATATACTAATGTAATACAAATTTAAATTATTTTTAAGTGGATAGAAATTTAGCTATTTTTTGATGTGTTGCGTGTGTGATTCCGTGATGTGTGTATGTCCTGTGTTTCTGTGTATGTGTGTGATTAGGGCAGTTCTTGTCACACTGTAGTTGGGAAGAGTTTGTTACCCGTCTGTAGTAAGGTATGTACAGAAATGGAGAATAAGCATTTATAAACTTTAATAGCAATTTGACAGAGTATTTTGTGTCTGTTGAAATCAATAATACAAAATTTGGGGGCTCATATTTTGTATTCTTTGTTCTTAAGAAATTTTACTTTTCTCATAATTCATTTCTATTGTATTTTACAGAAGTTTGCAATGGATTGGAAATTTTGAACATTTGGTCCTTCACCACAGATAGTCTTAGAAGCACTGACTGATTAAGGTATAAAGGTAAGGCTTTAGGATGAATGTATTTGAGAATTATTGTGCTAGAACAACCAGCAAATGACCAATGCTACATTTTCTGATCATCCTTCTTCCTCCACAATTATATTTATGAGAATTTTATGTAGAAAGAAAAGAAGCATATTGAGGTCAGCATTCCCCGCCCTTCTGTGATAAAGTGTTTACGACATTTTCCTCTTCTCCATATTGTCCTCTCAATAAAGCACCTGGAAAGAACCCAAAGAAAACAGTGGTATTTTCCAAGAAGCCATGGGAAAGCAGCATTAGAAACCCTGAGAAGGTGGAGACATTTGACTTTCTAAGGATAACAAGCTTACTTTTTTGTAGTCCTGTCCAAATTCTGCATTTTTGACTACACTACTCATACTAGTGTTAATAGTCAAATACCTAAGGCATTAGTAATAATAATATAAAAAGATAAGGATTCTCTTGCCTTTTTAACTGTCTTATTAGATTCTTACTCCTTTGCCTTCAGGCTTTATGCCCATGCTACCCAGTGCTTATTAAAAGAAAACAAAGAAAACGTCCATACTAAATGTCTTTCGGGGCTTGAAAATCGGTGATTTACTGTGATAAAGTAAGATACAGTTTATCATAGGATGTATTTTAGAAGTTCTAGAGCACATTTCTTCTCCAGAAGAGTGACATTTCTTTCAATATATGAGTAAAAACGATGAAGTGGTCATTAATTCTGTCAGTCTCAGTGCTGAGGTTCACAGGCATCTTGATAAAACTTTTCTTGTCTCTGTGTTAGTTGTGGTTCGGTCATGTATGTTGTCTTGGTGACACTGGAAAACAACACAGCTGACTCATGCTCTAATGGGAATTGTTACTACCTAAACTCAGGTACAGGATACAGTGGTTCAAACCACGCCCTGGGAAGCATCCCATCTCTGCATAGTGAAAGGCTGTCAAACCTGTTAGCTTATGAAGTAAGAGTTACTGTATCTCCTAAAACTAACTGTATCAGGGTATCTGACTTGTGTGTTCAGATACTTAAGGAGTGGTCCTCAGGTTTTCTGTCTTTTTCACACAGTAACATCCAGAGATGGAGTCAGGGAGGGACGCTGTTTTCAAAAGTTCCTCCCACCTAGACTTTTATCCCCTCCTCGCCCTTCCCCCTCTGTGAGGAATTTAAAAAGAGGTTACTTGTTTTGGTGTGTAAGGATGATGGGGGAGGAGAGAATGAATCTTTTCATCTGTACATGTCCCCAGGCAGCAAATGAGAATAAGAACTCTTACAAATGTCGATATCATGATTTCCAGTGTCTCTTTTCTGTGTAGACTCTTAACAAGGAATCTAGTCCTGTCAGCTAAATTCTTATAGTTTAGTGTTTGACATACTTTTTTTTTTTTTAAGAGACCTGTCAGAAATGACAGTAATTTAAGGCACATGAAAAGATTTTCAACATCACTAATCATCAGGGAAATGCAAATCAAAACTACAATGAGATATCACCTTACACCTGTTAGAATGGCTGTAATTACCAGGACAAAAAACAAATGGTTGGAGAGGATGTGGAGAAAAGGGAACCCTCATACACTATTGGTAGGAATGCAAACTGGTACAGCCACTATGGAAAACAGTATGGAGATTTCTCAAAAAATTAAAAATGGAAATACATATGACCCAGCTATTCCACTACTGGATATTTATCCAAAGAACTTGAAATCAACAATTCAAAGAGACTTATGCACCCTTATGTTCACTGCAGCATATTCGCAATAGCCAGGACATGGAAGCAACCCAAGTGCCCAATGACTGATGAATGTATAAAGAAGATGTGGTATATACATATATATATATGTATATATGTGTATATATATATGTATGTATATATGTGTATATATATATATGTATATATATATATACAATGGAATACTACTCAGCCATAAAAAAAGACAAAGTCTTCCCATTTGCAACAACATAGATAGAACTTGAGGGTGTTATGTTAAGTGAGATAAGCCAGACAGAGAAAGACATACACTGTGTAATTTCACTCACATGTGGAAGATGAACAAATACATGGACAAAGAGAACAGATTAGTTGTTACCAGAGGTGAAGGGTGTTTGGGGGTGGGCATAAGGGGTAAAGGGGCACATATATATGGTGACTGACAATAATGTACAACTGAAATTTCACAATGTTATAAACTATTATGACATCAATTTAAAAAAAATGACAGTGATTTAGTATATGTTTCTGTACGCTGCATTAACTACAGTGTTGCTTCTTCCAGGAAGTATCTTCTTGCCAGCAGAACTTAGAGGATGCACATGCCCATGCCTCCCTTGCATAAGCAGATTTTATATCATTAGGGTCTTGCATTTATAGATTAGGAAAAAAACTGTTTCATCCTAATCCGTTGCTTAGAGCAGATACCTTCGCAGTTCTGAGATCCTCTTAAGATAAGAAGTCTCTTAGTATGTGTATTCTCAAACTATGAATGAGAGTTATAAACTCGATGAAATGGAATTGAATTTGCTAGAATTTGGTATGCTCACAGCCCTGGCTCTTGACAGGGTGGCTGCTTATTCTAGGTTCACAGAGTATCCCTAACTGGACTGGTCTTTTTCCAGGATGGATTACATCCTTTTTTTCCCCACCCCCTACCCCCCAGTACAATTACCTGTGTAGATTCCTATAATGAATCTGCAAATGTTAGTGTCTAATATGTTACTGTCTACTGTCTGGTCTATGAGACAGTGCTAAATAGTTTTTGTAACTGTGGTTTTGAACCAAACCAGTAGAATGCTTTTGTAATTGTGTGTGAGAATTTCTTGTACCTTTTCTGGGAAGCCAGAACTGAATTATTTTCAGGACTTTTATGTAGCCTAGTCTGTCAGTGTTAGTCCAAGATTAAACAAGTAGCTTATGCGTGGCCTAAGTGATGCAGGGTGTAAAAGGGCTGTAATCCAAACGCTTCCTCAGGGGTTTGCTGCAGCCCAGGAATGTTTGCGGGGATTACCTGGAATATAGCGTGAAGCCAAAGGAGTTTGAAAACACCCTCCCTTTCTTTCCATTAAGGCCTGCCCTGCGTTGTCCCTTCACTGTCAGAGCTTGCTGCACACAGAGGCAGAGCACCTGTCACATGTTATGAAGCACATTACCCACTCGTATATTTGTCTAACCCGTTAGACTGTAAGTGCCTCAAGGCCAGGGGCAAAGTTTTACTCCTCCCTTGAGCCTAGTACCTCCTTCTCTGCCTGTTTATTGACCTGAACACAGGGAACCAAACTGAATGTCTAAAACACAGGACACAGAAGACTGGACACATTAGAGGTGCACATGGGGCAGAGAGAGCAGCCACGCTTGGGAGAACATGGAGCAGGCTTGAAAGGCCCATGATTTTGTTCTTAAAATTCTTAAAGGTTGGGAATTATTAAATAAGAAGTTGATGCGGGCTGGCTCTGTGGCTTAGCGGTTAAGTGCGCGCGCTCTGATGCTGGCGGCCCGGGTTCGGATCCCGGGAGCGCCCGGAGGCACCACTTCTCCGTCCAACGCGAGGCCGAGT